ATACGACCTTTATTCGTCCCCTGTCCAACTCAATACCATTCCACAGTTCAGCTCACATTGTGTGACAGTCTTACTCCTTCCCTCCCTCAGAACAGCAACAACGGCAGCAGCAAACATATTGCTCAATCCTCACAGAGAATCTATCGATAGATGGACAAAAAGTCCCCAGCTGATTACTATCACACACTGCTACGCGTAGAAAAGCATTTACTCGTCCCGTTGCACCTACTCAACCTGACATTTAGTCGCTCAGTTGGGTTTTTCAGCGCGTTTGTGTATTGCTTTCTCACTGCCGTCTCCAGGACTGCGTGTTTGTTTGCCCGTATTTGTGCGTGTGTTGTGATTACGACTCGCTTTTTTGGCGTTTCAGGTGTGTGGATGTTTGTGAATATATGGATTTGTTAATATGTCAGACGTGTGGGGCTCGGGTGAGAAAGGCCGAGGCGACAATCTCCGGATGGCACCAGCAAAGATGAACAGAGTTGTAATCCTAGGATATTTTTCTAATGGGAGAACTTAATGACTGCTTTAATGCGAGGAAGTAACGTGGAGCCCGGCACACTATGACGAGGTGGGCATTTAGCATGCTAAGCCGAGTGCGTTCTTCTCGACCAAGCCGCTTGGAAATCAATCGAAGGATAGAGGGTTTCATGTTTTTCCTCTATTGCCCGAAACTGTTTTAGAAGCTTGAGTAAAGAAATAAATGCAGACAAGCTGGATTGCTCATGGATTCCGGGAGATTCGTTCCTTATCGATTTTTTAACTAGATTTGATGTTCCACCTCTACATGATTGCAAGATGGTAGCAACCATGAAAAAAACAGTCAAACCAAAGGATTCACCCTGATCCTCGCCGACATCTTGCCGAATTTTAAAGTTCGATCGGTTCAATTGGTTTCTCAGGTTCATGTTGAATAGAGCCCATCTGTGATCTATTCACCCACCTCACCCTTACCAATCCTTCTTTTTTCAGTTGGTTGTCTAGTTTATTAACTAACTCATCACAGAATGACGAGGGAAACCATTCCAGTTTTTGAATGATTGTCATCCATGGTTGTGTTTGAGATATCTGAAAGGGACCACAACTTATGATTACACTAGAGCCAACTGTAAACTGACTCTAAAGCCAATGCAGAAGTGTCGGGAATGTGTAGTTTTGTTAAATGCAACCCCCAAGATGCCCTTTACTACAAATGGCACGGTGAGAAATAAGTTGGATTCTTCTCCAAATGAATCATTTACCACTACGCACGTAAGAATGCCGGTACCAAATCTGCTCAACTGAAGGCCAATCTAATTTAGAGCTCGACGGTCCTTGTTTGCATGGGTTCTTTCATCAATATAACTAACAGAAAATCAACCCGGTTCATTCAACGCCCCTCTTTATTAGCATCAGCTAGATCTTCTCGTTACCTGTTGTTTTTCCCTGTAAGTATCCTGACTCAGTGATACTTCTCTGGATAGAAAGCATACTCCGTCTCATTTACTGACCCAGAATAAAGGGACTTTAACTCTCTGAGACACTAAAATGGCTGCTGAGTCTATACGTCCTAGTGCGGGTCTGTGATGTTTTGAAGGTCCGTTTAAAATTTATTGAGCGTATGCACCGGGCTTTTTGGAGAGGTTCGTAATAGCTCAGCTCAGGATGCACCACAGTCCACTACCTGGGTGATTTTGTACCTACTGGGCATTAACAGTGAGTGAGGTTCGTTTTAACATGATTGAAATAGCTTGAGAGCCAGTTTACTTGGGCCCGTCAGTGCAAAATATTCAACCACCAAACATGTACCACATACATGGACATAATAGGCGCGAATAAGCAGTACGGCGTCGATGCAAGTTCGGACGTTTTCTACATCCGCCCGACGAACGGATGTAACCATTTGCCAGATCCATTTTTGAATCGATTTTGCTCGTAATCTGGAAACTTCCAAAAGTGTCAACACTGGAAGCCTAATGCACATGATATGAAAGTTTCACCGAACTAACCTTGGAAACCTAATCCTTGAAGGAAGTTTCCTATGGTAACCGAAATGCGTAGTATGACATCTTATTCTAGAAGTTTCCATGACTTAATAACGCCCTGAGCTGTGATAGGGTTTTAACTGATGAGCGTGTTCTCAGTTCTGCACAGCTTAACAAAAATGTTATAGTTATCATTTGTGACGATAGTCTACAGCATTAGCATCGATCATCCTGTCGAGTAGTGGTGATGATCTAGTATGGTTAAACTAGATGAGAGCTATTCTGTTGTTTCAGTTAGACAACACTAACATGGCCAGTCCATCATGTGCACATGTTACGCGTCTCTCAGCACAAATGTTCCGTAGCTAAATGGGGGTGGTGGTGTTCTTGAATGAGATTTCCTCGACCAAACTATCCGGGGACCTAGCCACAGTGGATGTTGTTCGCCCGGATCATCTAACGACCATGACAATGACCGATCAGACAGATGGCTTCGCTTACACAACACGTTCGGCGAATGCAAGCAAGAAGAGAGTTGAGGGGGTTGGGGTGAATTCACTGCTTGAGCAAAGAAGCGAGATTACGCGATAACAACTTGGAAATTCATTGGCCAAAGTCACCGAAAACGGCTGCTGTGTCTTACTAGTTAAACAGGTAGAAAATATAGTCATGTTTGGTTTTCGGCTAAAACCTCCGGCCGCATGAAGACAGGAGGACAGCAGGAAACAAATTGAGCATGATACATAGGCGTTTGGTATACTTCATTGATCATTCCAGTCGTCGCTATTAATTCCGGTATCCAATATTGGTAGTAAAACGTAAGTGGGTTTGCGCGCTCATTGGAAGCATAGTTGTCCAGATAGACCACTTTGCCTTTGAGGAGAATTTCGGTAACCTGGGCTTTATAGAAGTGGTTTTTGCATTATCTGGGTTGAGCAGTCTGGTTGCAAACACTTCGTGATCCGTCAAGATGACATTAGTAGTGCTTAGCAGATTAACTCTGGACCAAATTCAAGAGGCCGAACAAAAACGGTCTCATAGGATTAATTCACTTTTCTAAGGAGTTCACCGTTAGTATGCACTTCAAATGACTACCTGAAACTAATCTCTTCTCAGTGGCGCATTCTTCCACCAGTGGCCTCTTCAGAGGAGGGCGAGTGTATTGTCACAAATTGTCCAGATTAAAAGCACGACACCTTTGCTAAATACAATAATTTGCAATTTGCATTGGTGATGACGGAATCTCTACTTTATGATATTCTGCCAACTAAATGTGATGTCAGTCCTCATAAAGAAAACTACTCACAAGGTTGCAGAAAACTTAAACAGCCCACGACCGGTTTTGCCGTTCCTGGGGCTCATCAGGTAGGCGCAGTCCCCGAGTTTCCGTCAACATTATGTTCTACTTGAACCCAAATTGGACTGTTTTCGAGTAATACACTCATTTGCAAATCAGTTTGGTTTTCACGACAGACTCAACTGAATCTCTTGTGATATCCGTTCATTTTTCTTCATCTGAGACTTCCTTGAAAAAAATCCACTGATTATGAAGTCGCTGAAAGCTATTCAGCAGCCCGCAACCACTTCATAATTCGCGAGCTCAAAAATCAAAAGGCGAAATAGTTTTGGCACACTATGAGAGCAGTTCGTTATTCCAGTCTTACTGGTGCACACAACTGAAATTACAAGGATATGCACATTACAGTTTTACTCGACTTTTCATCTCTAACTTCACGAATCATCATCTAAAACACATTGGAGTGTATTCACAACCTGCTGCTCATTTATATTTGGTGATGTTGACTTAGTCCAAATCCTAAACAACTGCTAGTGCAAGTCAGTCAGTGAACCAAGGCCTAAAATATGGCTTACAAATAAGTTCTTACCAATAGAAACACTTCGAGAGCATGAATACGGACGATGATGCCGGTCCAGTCACAGGACCACTGATATCTACATCGTTAAGTGAGCACGCATACACTTGGGATGGAATGCCNTTTGAGATCCTTTCCGTCACCGTACGATTTGCACAAGTCCCTAACTCCATGTGGTGATGCTGATAGGAGCTGACCGAATAAACAACTCTCCGGTAGAAGGACGAACGGGTGTGCAGGTTGGAAGTCTAACAGAGGAAATAAACCTTATGCATGCGTCCAATTGAGTTTACTATAGTTGCGTTCATGCTGATAACTATGGTGATTTGACGCATCGTTTGGACAAAATAATAACCTGGATACAGTAGCTCCGCCAACTCAGCTCACATGAAAAAAAAAACTGACACTAAATGCTATGTGAACCCACACCTATTGCTAAGTGGTTCACAAGTGATACGCCCATTCTTCCGCGATCTATGAATCATGGTAGTTAGTTTGCTTCAGATAAGGCGAGGTTACGGTCAGTCTCTTGGGAACCACGTTAATAATACGTCTTATGATAACATAACTAGCTGATATGAAAAATGGCAATGAACTCTAAGAACTGTGTGACCAGGAAAATGAGAGGTTAGGCTTGGTTGAATCTAGTAATTCACAAAGCATCCATAAAACATTTTTGCACAGGTTTTGGCTAAGATACCGCCTAAAATAGCAGAAATCAACCGCTTTCATACGAGGAACCGGTCAGATGAGCTCCTTCTATTTGAAAACCAGCAACTAATAGAACGGTATCTTATTTTGATCATAAATGTGCAGTGTGTGTAAAAAACTGGAGCTGATAATATAATGAAATTCATGTGACTCGGATGAACTGCTTTGCTGTTCATTTACTCACTACACTTACCATTTGGGCTGCAAGCGTTTCGTGCTCTTTTGTTTAGCCTGTTGTATGTTCCTGGAAGTGCATACTTCATGTGCAACTGCGAAGCAGAAAGCTGGAACAAGGCTTTTGATAACTATAGAAGAATTGAAAAAAAGTAATTTTATCCGGTATTCTTGAGATTGAGTGGTTTACTTCTACGTACCGATATCAATGTTTTCTACCTTAAGTAAAAATTGATCACACCAAAAAATACACATTTCTCCTGTTTCGTCCTATAGAATGCTACCTATGGCCGCTGCGATTTCTGCAAATCCACCCGGTGTGAGCAGACCACAGTTAGATGCGGGCTGGACACATTTCAATCGATATCAAGAATTTTCTAATTATGGATCTGTCAACTCTGGTCCCCCAAATACTCTCTATGGTTCGTCGAACTTGTTGGTTGGTCAGACTACCTATCCCAACATGTATCAACAAAGTTTATCTCAGGCTTATCATAATTATCAACAGCAGCAGCAACAGCAACAACAACAACAACAACAGGATCAACAAGATCCCTACAGGGGTGGCACTTCTTGTGCAAGACAGTTTTGCTCAGAGATTCAGGCGAAGCTTCCAGCTGAACGAAGCGAACCGGTATTTGACCGTTCGTCGGATTTGGGAAAACGGGATCTTGAGGAACATCATAATATCGATGCGAACAATCAGGCCCGATTAGAGTTGCTAAATTTGTCCAGATTTGAATCTGACCAAAACGCTATACGTCTGAACGCACGAGGTGACAATGATCGGGTCGATGGCCGGTGGGTTGCACGGAAGCTGAGTAAGGGAAACTATATACAACGCGAGGCTTCACACGGTGGTGTTGGTCAATCAGCACGTGGGACAAATAGTCCGGAACACAAAACTACAAGACAAAGACGACTGATGAAGGAAAGTGAAAAAGCAGCAACGCCTGACTATGATGGCATGCTGCGAGCCGAGGGAGTTCAACAGGATAACTCTGAGCAAAAACGTTCTGAAGTTCTATTTCCAGCGAAATCAGCCGATTTTTCAAGCACTACTCAGGCGGCTCCACAGTCCGTTAAACAAAGCCCAGATAAAGCGAAATCTTCGTACAGTATCTCTCATTATCAGATTCCGCCTTCTACTCCACCTTCCTCAACCTCACAGCCATTTCGACTGTCTTCACAAAGTAGCTGCCAATTTTCCAGTAACCTATTCCCACAGTATGAGCAAACCCATCATCCAAAAGGAGGTAACTCGAATGGCTCGGATGCACTCAATTCTACATTCCCCCCTTCGCTTCCAGGAATACCTCCCAATCACAACTCCGAGTCGTACCGCTCTGAGGAACAGTTTTACTCGTTACTGACAAACGGTGGTATGCAAACTTCATTTCATCAGTCGCAATCGGTCAATCCATTCTTTTCGAGTTCTACATGGAACCAGGGTCTGTACTATCCCCAAGGGTTAACACCTCAGCAGTTGGCCTCCTTCTACGCTTCTGTTAATTCGAGTGCATTAGATCCTCGACTCAGGCATTCGGCTGGTCATACATCTGGACCTGAATGCGCTCAACTTGCGGCGCAGCAAACAGGAGGTGATGATGTACTATCTCCACAGGCACAACAGCAACAAGCCAATTCATCTCTCAACAGATATGCTTCTAGAAACAGCCGGAACAATCCCAACGGTCTATCCGGACAAGCACACCTTCCGGTAACCCCTAACGACTCACTGTTTGACCGAACGGCGGCAAAATTGGAGACCTGTTCAGAAGATGTTATCCTCCCACCTAAGAACCCAGTACATCCTATGGACGATATAATGTACGTTAGTGCTGCATACCACTCAGCAGCTGCAATGGCTGCGGCTGCTGTAGTCGCTCAAGCTGCCGTTGCCAGTGCAAACGCAGTTGGACAGCCCCAACAAGAGCAGCATATTCCTTACGCATCTCATCATGTTCTCCACAACACTCCAAATCGTTCAGCATCACATGCTCTGGGAGGCATCATCCCAATTCTAGGCTCAGTGAACGGAGTCTCTGGGACGTCTTCATCAACTATCACGTCAAACAGTTTGAAATCGGTGAAAAACAAGAAACTCACCTCCACAGGTAAAACTACTTTGAGGGCTGCAGTTCGGTTTACTAGGTGTACAGGTTTTTGACATGGTTACAACCAAATGGATCGGTATTGCCAGTCGTGCACATAGGGCTTAAAACAACATATGCAAACATTTATACAAAAAACATCTGGTCCCTCGGGTTGATGACAAGGCCTGGAAGCCCGAATAGGCAGCTGGTTAACGTCTGTCTGGAAAAATCTATGCTGGTCAAGCAAAATCTGTCGGGAAATTTTGATATTGATTTACATGGTATTATAACTTTGGTAAGAACAAAAGTAAGTTAGGTGATCACGTTAAAGTTATATTAACCTTGGAACTACACGCGAAATATCTCCCATAAAAAGGGGAGAAAAGACATTTACCTAGCATGATTAACCACGGAGGTTTGTGAGTACACTCACAGCAGAGTTCCGCAGCCCCAAATATTTCACATGTGTAAGGTCTTTCGATACGCACAACATAGGCGTTGAGCCCATTCAACATGTGAGACTCAAACAGATCCTAGCATTCCCATGCCCGATCAACTACTATTTGAGAAAAAGTGTGTCGAGAAACATGCTCCAGATATCGAAGTTTTCAAATCACTCTTATAGTATGGGACACGTTTCCATCGCTACTGATGGATACCAGATCCGCGTAATACAAATCTTCTGGCCTTACACATCCTGTTGAATGAAAGTAATTCAAGCTTTATGCCGTAAAGAAGTATTAGCTTTCACAAATCATTTATCAGATGTTGAACTGCTTTGAACTTGCACATTCGGAAATTGTTCTAGAGGATACATTACACATACTCCAATGAGAATAATCATGCGAGACGAGGGGATGAGGTAATGATGAGTTAACAATAGCTGTTTCCAGCTGATTCACGAAAAATTGGTGGTTACAGACCACCTCAACTTCGTCAGTAATAAAAATCGCCATGTCTTGCTAGAACTATCTGTCTCGAAGCCATCCGAACTTTAGAGGTTTATTTGACAAAATCAAACGAAAATCTCAACTGAACAACAAGAAATACTAACTAGGACTGATAGAGCCATCCAGTACTACAACTGGCCCTTGTTTGCCAAACAGTCTCAACATCTTACGACGTACAACCAAGGTCAACGTATTGATTCGAACAAGCTCGCTAGGTTAGTCAACTGGGCTTGTTTAGAGGAGTTAATCTTATTCACACCAGGGGACATTGCTGTTTGGGTCTACTCAACATACTATGCGTACAACAGGTCATGAAATGGACTAAAATAGTGACTAGTAACCACTATGCCTGGGAACTCAGGAAAAGCGCTTCCATCAATGAATGCTTCTTACATGAAGTAGATAAATCGCACCTCCTGTGTATATACGTGAATAACCCCACAGTTTCTTGGACAAATTTGTTCACGTGGTTACATTGCTTACTCTTTCTTTATGTTCTATTGTGGGGCTCACTGAGAAGTACATGTTCTGACCAATATGAATCTGTTTTGCCCTATCCTACCACAGAAGGTCGTGAATGCGTTAACTGTGGTGCTACAAGTACTCCACTATGGCGACGGGATGGCCAGGGCAACTATTTGTGCAATGCATGTGGCCTATACCAAAAAATGAATGGACAAAATAGGCCGCTGATCAAACCAAAACGTCGGCTGGTAAGTCACGAAACCTCCAAAAGCTGTCCAATGATGGCTCCCATTTACCTGCTGCTAGTCTGGTTCGGCTAGATAAGTTATCACTGAGATATATATGGCTTTTTCCAGAAGCTTCAATATCTCCAGATTTATAGCCTCACCAAACGAGGGCAGTTTTACTTGTAAACAATGAGGCATAGCAGAACCTAGGTCCAATGTATCCCGTAAATTCCCACACTTACATTGTGAGCCTTCTTGTCATTCAGCTCGATATGTGACTTGTCGGCGTGCAACACCTGTTCATCAAAAACATTTTCACACCAGTTTGTGGAATCGATGCACCGCGATCGGTCGTTGTGCTTGTTACCGCAGTATTTCCTAACCTCCCCACGGCCTGGTAGATTTGGGTCATTCCATCCCACGCCCCGGAGATACATCATTTCAACTGATTTAGTTTGGCGGCATGATGTTAACACGTGAGGGTTAAAAGAAACCACACTTACTTGAACTAATGATGATTGACGTGTTGATTGTTTCGACGCTGAAATCTGCGGCATCTGCCACACTGACCGTTTTTCCCAACACTGTGCGTAATGCTTCCGCGGTAAAAGAAACAATCTTTGATTGAATACTTAATACAACAGAGGTTATGCATCCACTCGCGACAGGTCAAATAAGTTTGAAATGTTCGATTTGCTCTGTTCACAGGCAAGTCAGTCGCTACTGTTGTATTATTAAGCTACGGAGTAGTAGAAAGCCGGATTTCTTTTATCCGTTGTCAAGCAAAAGTCATGTAAGTGATTCTTTTCGGGATTTTTTCGAAACTAAGCTAGGTACATCATGACTTATAAAAACCACTGCTGGTACTACTTTAATCAGCAAATAGTAGGAGAGTAACAGTGAATGAAGGATTAATAGGTCTCTTTCTTGTTTTTTTCTGCACTTTGCTTAACCACAACACGTTGAGTTTTGTACAACACCTAGATAAGTCATTAGCACAAAACCGTTCCGGTTACTTTTTAAACATTCAAAGTTTCACCAAAGCATTCTGATAAATGTTCACTGGCTGTGGGCGGGCAGACCGGCCTACATCATAGTAATTGTATGTCGTAACACATCCGGAGTTGAAGTGCGGGTCCGGACAGGTTGATAAATTATTAGCCGGTAAGGCCACACAAGCGGTATTTTTGCTGTGAAAATATACAGACGTCCACGAAAACATATGGGTACCTGTTATCAAAACTTGCGGAACAGACCCATTGATCAACAGACTGTGTGCCGTTTTTACAGTATGAGACATGACCGCGCATGGTTTTTCTCAAGCTTCCGAAAACGGTACCACTTCCTGCTAAAAATGCTGTCTAGGAGAGTGTGCTCCAAAGCTTGCTGACAGTCTAGCCAAGAAATGTTGAAAAAAATAGGTAGTCTCCAATTCCACTGTTGTCGCGATGGCCAGTCAGTTTTGTTTGCTCTCCCACCTATTCCAACAACTGCGGGACGAAACCAAGAGTCTGTCTACTGGTGGAGGAGAAAGTCGGATGTTTGACTCAAGTTTATGGCGTCTTCTGCTACACGCTGCATACATTGGAAAAACAGTTTTGTTTACAATAGTACATTTCAGTGAGTGCACACATATTTCATAGCTTAAGTGTTAGGGCCTCACAAACAGCATGTTTATCTTGCAATGTGCCGCAAGAAGCTGTGAAACAGCATGATGGTGAAACATTAACCCCGAGTCCTCGTTTGCTCACCTGGTGGCGCAACTAAGACGCTTCTCTGGTAGGTCATAGATATGTTATAGCCCATCAGGTTCACACTTGAATGATCCATCTGACGGGTTTGTTTACCATATGTCTTTCTAGGGTATCGGAGGCGTGGCATTTCCATCGATATCATTAGGCTGCGTAACAACCTGCTGTCAACAAGGAGGAAACGCTGGAAGCCAGTGACATATCTAATACCTTGATAAGCTTGGGAAACCACCCTACCAATGACGAGTAACCCGCAGCTGCAGTATAGATACTAGATTGTTTGGTACAATTTCTGACCTGGTGGGAAACAAGCCTCTCGGTTTTTGAAGGATCAAACCAAAGCGTCATTTCCGATCGATCTGTTTCCAATTCCGGATCACTGACCTTGAAAAAGACGAAAATTGGGACCTCTGAATTGAAAGCAACTGTCGGAGGCGCAGGGTAGCGTATATTTCCCCACAAATTGACAGGTTCATATTTGCGGAAGATGGTCAGTCGTGCTGAGCACAGAGCGGACCAAACGACGCTCACTAGTCGTAGCAATAGTTCATAAGGCATTTCGAACTCACTTGTTGCAACCATAGGATCTGTTTTTAAGCTGGCTAAAGCTGAGATTTAACCCTTTGATATATAGCCTGGCCATTTTCCTTGTGATTTCCACAAAATCTAACCACCACGTGTCCTTTGTCCCTTGACTCTACAAGTTGAAATAGCATGGAAAAGTGAAATATTGTGACTAAATTAGCTTCATAGCAAATGAAGGAAAAAACAGGACATGTGTGACGGTACACCCTGCTTAACATGATCAGGCTGAACTAACGAGTCGTTCAGCGATGTACCTCCAGTAGATTTGGCTTTATTGAAACCGACCAAGTGATAGGCATATTCATGACATTGTGTTTCGACCACATAGTTATCTTCATTTAACGTTCAACCACTTTGAGCTCACACGTCCTAGAAACGATATTTTACGAAAAACTTGTTCCCACCGCCATGGAACTGCCAGATTCGTCCTGAAATGTGTTAGTGACTTTGGATACATTGTTACTGATGAAGTTTTCATACGAAATCAAGATGAGATTGACGCGAAGATGTCAAGTACTCTGAAATCAGACTGCATTATCTACGAATAGCTCAGTTCGCGTATGCACATTTTCGAAAATAGGAGCTCAACCAGCAATGCACTGATGATGGCTTCTTGATTAGAGATGAAACGCTTGCCAAAGTCAAACGCCAAGGTCGATCAGCGCATCGATAACCCAGAAAACAAAGAATTTACTCCCAAACAGTCCCAAACAAATGAAACGCAGCAGAAACTCTCGAGCTAACGCCCAAACTTTTTTTGTTAGTCCATTTTCTTTGTACATTTCGCGGTAGTAGTAAATATTCTCGGTTTGATCTGCGACGTTGCCGCGAGCAAGTTGGTTTTATAAGGCATCAGAACTGAATTCTAGATACTACATAGGGTCCCGTAATAAGGTTTTGGTCTGGATCACTCATTCGCCTGGGTGGACGTGTCTGTACTACTGTATGCTCTTCGATTCAAACAATGAAAAGTCCGGATGAAGTTGAAATTTTCTTGTGAATTCTTGGAGCAAAAATGTTTTTATAGCTTGCATTCGTTGCATCAAAATAATATCGTTTAAGAAGTCACCTCCACATCCATACAAATATACGATTCGCAAGCATGTATGAATACTTTGACAGACCGATGAATGAGACAGCTCTGTCGATGGCCGGGAGAAAGCTTGATATCAACTAATCAGTCCGCTGTAAATGTTCTCACGTTATTATCTGATCCAGCGCTCGTGCCAGAGGAACGCAATCCGCTGCATTCACACCAATGCTTAATCCCGGGGATAGATCTTTTTGAATGAAGCCCAAGATAAAAAAGAACTGATCTGCAAGAACAGCATTTATGTTCAAGTCAGAGTGACCAATTCCACTTGAAACGCCGTCTGGTTTACTCTGTTATACCCCGGGGTTGAAGCAGTCATCAGTTTAGCGCATTTCCTGTTTGGAACTGTATGTGTTTTTGAGTTGAGTGGGAAATATCCAGCGATATGATAGACATACATATATTTTCATCTTAAACCATGGATGCCTGGTTTGTTAACAAGAGGTGAGAATGCCCATGCATTTATCATCTGACTAGTTGAAAGTTCACTTGAATCTGTAGTAAAAATAAGGGCGGAGCACAGGACTTCTCATAAGAAAGGCTGTAGGTTATAGGAGATAACGGATCGGCTCAGCCACCATGCCTAACGGTGCACACAGCAGCACTGATGACTAATTTCAGTGAAAATCTGTATCCCCGAGCTGTAGTAATGTCCATAAGCTGATGAGTTTGACGTCCGACCTAACTTAGTTCTGGTCAAAACAGACGGTGAATATTACTTCCAAGTTTTAATTAGTCCCAAATTAAACCATTTTAAGAATTACCTGATCGTTCAGCTTCTTCCTCGGTCTCTAGCTACCACATACCTGAGGAAAGCACGAGGGCTGAGATGCTGCCAGGTTGCCCAATCCTAGACAGGAGAATTTGAGATGAGGAGGCTGAGTTCCGACCACGGACCTTGCGGTCAGCCAATTCGCACTCTAACCTCCGAGCCATCTCCCATTACCTACATAGTAGTGCATAGTGCATAATCTAACTATCGGATGTCGCGGTGCATACCATGAAGTGTTACTGCAGCGATTTGCGGTCTTCACTGCCAATAGTGTTCGATAAGGAAAGGGAACTTCCTAGGTGGTTATGGCAATACGAGGTTTGGTTTTTCAACCCAAGAAAAATTCAGTAATTTTTTGAGCACTTCAGGGCGTTGAGTATTAGAATATCAATTCTCTTGGGAAAAATCCTGTAGGACTAAACATTTTGTTCATAGCTTAGTTTGACTACAGATAACGGACACCGAATTCCAAGTGCTGAACAAAATCGCGTGGTCTGTTGAATGAGCAGAGCTAATGCGATGCTCCTTCAGACATGTTCAATTTATGGACAGGTGTAGCCAAAGTAATGTAGCGCAGTGCGGTGTGCGGGCAGACAGTTTTGGTGCAGCTCGCCTCTCTCTAAATGATAACACTTAGTTGTGGGTTATGCGGAAAGAACACTCTTCAAAGCCCAGGACGAGCAAGTGTTTTCAACTCAAAGAACGATAGATGAAACCTTGAATCCACAGCCGAACTAGACTAAGTAGTTCCAAAACTTTTGTTCATCCTGTACCATCTAAGTTACGAAAATTACTTTTAAAGTAAATGCAGCCTTAGCTGGGAAACCGAGAAACTCTCACATAAAGTGCGGTCTATTTTGTGCAATCCACATTTCCTTTGTATTAGAATATTTGGGTGGATACATGTTTTGTTAATTGACGCCCCAGGGATCATGCAAGATCTATTCCAATATTCGCAACATGCTATCCCGTTTCAGCAATCATCCAGTCGACGAACCGGCACTATTTGTTCCAACTGTCGCACAGTGACAACGACGTTGTGGAGGCGAAACACAAACGGAGAACCCGTGTGTAATGCCTGTGGGCTTTACTTCAAACTGCACAATGTAAGTCATCTGAATTCCCTTTATATGAATAGAAAGAAGGGATTTCTCGTAAGAAGTCAGTCACATCAAAACACAAGGATCACTTAGAAGCTCAATCGATCTTGATCTTTAATTCACGAATGAGTGTGTGTTGATCATTTAAGTGTTCCCAACCCATAGGTGGTAGCTAGGAGCAAGCGCAGCCGTGGTTGCTGGTGCGGTTCAGCTTGTCATTGATGACACTCCGTTGTAATGTAGATGACTTCAAGCAGTGGCTCATTCGGCTAACAAGATAAGCAACAAACTTTCCTTTCGTTCATATAATTTTTCGTTGCCATGCTGAAAAAGCGCGCGTTTTAACTTGTCTGAAACAACTAGCATGAATCGACTAAAGTGATCAGTTGTAATGTAGTTGCATAGTTTAAAGTTGTCGACAGAACACGGCAAGTAGACCCAGCAGTGAAAACCCCACTACTCTTGGTTCACTCCCTGTACTGTGTTAAAATTAGAACCTCGTTGCGTGCATTCACAGTGCCTGAAATCAATTTGTAAAAACGAGGTAAGCGCAACAGACCTTAAGCTGGCGATACAAACACGATGAGAATCTGTAACCGCGAACTAAACTAATTATCAATGTTTATAAAACAATGACTAGCCAAACAACGGTGAAAAAAAAGTTTTAAAGGATATTTTCACCTCGGGATACCATGCAGCAAACTGACACTCTGACAGTCCGTCTGTATTTTCTTCGCTGTTCAGTTTGCTCCTCCGAGATTGGCATTTTTAAATGATGAGAACATGTGTTACTTACGCCTAATGTTAGATCGTTTTACAACCTAGCTTTGTAAAGTACGCTTCACCGAGATCTTTTACGTGAGCCATTCAAATCCAACGGGGTTTACAGGGCACCTAAGACTGGTTTATGTATGTTTTCCTATGAATTAGTTTGAAACACTTTCAGGCCTACTTCACTACATCGAACGACAATAAAGATAGTATGTTTGGCGTTGTTTATGAATCTTGAACAGTATGTGTATCAGTTCAACTTTATGCTACTCAAAATGAGAGGTCTCAGCATAGTGCTAAATCATACAAATACGCGCAACCCCGTTGAGTGGCCATGGTAGTGATGTTGGGCATAGAGAGCCTTTTAGGAGCGCACCAAACTGATAAATTTGATTGACTGCCGTGAGCTCAACCCTGGATGTGAGTACGAATCAGAGAAAGCGAGAGTGAAGCTGTGAGTCTGCACCCTTGTTTGCGTTGCACAAAGCGCGCATATAGTCGCATACACACAGACATCATACCCGTAGATTCAAACTGACGTGTTCCATTATGAACCCCTCAAAATCAATGGTAAGACAGAGCAGCCTGTCATATCACAGGGCCACAAAAGATGGAGGTGGAGGTGACAAATGGGGGCCAGGGTGGGTGTTGAGTACAGCATGTGAGCTCGCCTTCCACTTTCTGTTGACGCGCGCGCTACGTAAATCAACCCGGATGGTTAATTTGATCTGGTCATGTTGGCGATATGTCGGCTTCATGCCTATATGGCGCCAACCCTATAGTCGTCTATCCACGTTATGTGAATATGTTCACGACAGAACGAAAGCGATGGGGATGGAGTTGGTTGCCTTTGAATGTAGAAAACCTCTTTGCATTGTTTTGCACATGAGTACAACTCAGGTGTGCAGCAGGATTGAAAATAACAAAAACAAACGGGGGTATCATGCTCAACCTCCTGTCAGATTAGCTGCTGTTCTAAATGTATGACACACAAGTCTTCCCATTGAAAGTGATAAGGCGTTGAGAGGAAAATTGAAAAGAAAAACAAGTTGAGACATATCACTCCATCCAGATTCGCTGCTGAAGCGAAAGAAGGGATCGTAGAAGTCTTTATTCAGGTTTACCTTCTCAGGAATTTGCACTATATTAATACACTATAGCACTATATATATACTATAGGGAATCGTTTAGTAATGGTCAGTCTTTGCACAAATTTAGCCACCATATTCCTCAATAAGGGAAGGTAAATTTGGGTGAGTAGGGAGAATGTCATTGACACATGAATAAGTAGGTTCCGCAGTCAGCATGTCAGTTAATCACACCCTTCGTAAACATGTCTTTACAAGAGTCATAGGCAAACACTAACTAAACTTATCTTGAATGTTTCCGAAGGTCATCTCAGTTTTTATTCTCCACAAGCATGCCAGACTCTAATTGTTTTTAATCAACATAGCTTCCTACCATTGTAAAATTATTCTGTGGTGACCACTGACGGACCGGGGGGAAACCGTTGTCAGAGGCGTTTAGAATCTGCATGGCTGTTGCAACCCGGTGTTTGCCAAAGATGCAAAGAACACCTCACTTTTGGGTTATTTGGCCAATTGCTGAATTACTTCACTAATCAGTCACTCAGTTACCCACTCACCTTTGGCTATAAACAGGCTTGATTAATTAATTGTCCGTTCGTTCATTTGCTGCCTTGCTCATTGCTTGCACTTATTAGTTGGTTTTAGAATAAGAGCTGAGTGGCCGCTGATGTGGGGATAAACTTCCCTCAGTTGTTGCAGCTGTAAACATGGGAACCAAGTCCTCACTGATAATGAAGCGACTCGGTTTAGCATTCCAAAACCCGGCTGCTCCAGAGTAGTCATCTTCATACAGGGGCTATTTATAACATAGATTTTCTGTAAAAAGGATCGTACCATTGCAAATGAACGGAGTATATCCTCTATTCAAAGGAACTTTAAATTAGACTTTCCATTTCCTCAAGAGAAGACATCCAGTTAGTTCCCCATGGCAATATGAATCCAACATAGTACATCGATTTCGGCCGGTCAGAGAATCAATTCTCCCCACCTAACCACCGAAACCGTACAAATGTAAAACCAGTGTGAGACCCTCAGTCTAGTCAAATAAAAACACTTCCATTTGCATTTTATTGTATTACTCTGGCGCTTTATCTTTTTTCTGTTATGCTTCCCACCACCCCTATCCAGATGCGAAAGAACACGGGAGATTAGCTGTCAGGCGGATGAGATTTGACATGTAGTGGCGCCAGGGATTTGTGGTAGGATGTGAGAAACCGCGCTAACTCCAGACAGATGAGGTGCTGGAGTATACGCCCACCTGAGAAGGGGGTAAAAAGAGTGAGCAATACTGATTAATCACGTTGATCGGAGAGATTATAGATGAAGATAGAAGCGACGGTTTCCAGTGTTTGGTCCGAATCGCCCAGATGAGACATCGATAGTGGAACCCATAGGTCGTTGCAGGAGGACTATTCTCGCATGGCCACAGGCCTTATGCATATCAGGCAAAGATGGAAGCATATTATCTTGTTTGGCCTAATCTTACCTAAAACTGAATGAAGTAAAGAATGTGGAATAAGTGAGTGGTGGTCCGTTTTATTCATGTTTATAAAAAAACAAACTGAGGAAGGGTCACATTTATTTGCAGCGCTCGTGAAAACTTATGGACATCTAATTTCTAATATGAGGATGAGACCTTCTCATATTCCTGCAAGCCGAAATCAGTAATTCTGTCGTCAATGTTGAACGAGTTTTCTTCTTCATTTTTTACGTGTTACACAAGTGCTTAGTCCAAACTATCACTGCGTTGACCACGTGGTAGATTGAAACGTGAGAACCATTTTGTGGTTCACTGAGTAAAAAGGGGGATGAATTTCCACCCAAATAATTAATTCACTGTTGACAAAGCAGCTCCAGGAGTACTGAACACTTGCTTCATCCAGTTAACTTCCGGTGGGTTAAAAGTTTTGAAAAATGAATGGACTGACCATTTTACAAACTGTTCATCAAGATCTCTAAGAAAAATCGGTTTTCATTCTGGAGTCATTGAGTCCGCGTGATAATATAGACTCAAGGAACTTGATCTGAAATGATGTAATGCAATCGAAACCTGCTGCTCATAAACAGTCTCCCGGCAGATAGAACAAAACAACAACTTTCAAAAGATATCAGTAAAGAAGCGTGTTAGAAAAAGTAGACTGAATTTTTAAAGAGAAACACTGGCCTCACATCAAAATAGCTTTCATGTGAGAATGCTATTCTTGAATAGACTATAATTTCTAAGAAGGCACCTGTAGTTAATCGATGCCGTGAGTGTCTTCCTAATCGGTTAGACTTAAAGGAACTCATCCCAACTAAGCATTTGGGCCATTCTCATGAATAATTTCGATGAGATCTTTATGCATTTGAATGTGTCTTTATCACGAAACGCCGAAGTCTACAACTTACCGTGTCATTCGAACGATTTTATTGCTTCCTCGACAGATCCAGCGGCCGATTTCAATGAAAAAGGATGGGATTCAGACAAGAAATCGAAAAGTCTCTCAGAAGACCAAGAAGCACAAATTCGGGTTTTATTCTGACTTCCCAGAACTAAGCATGGATTATCTTATGAAAACTCCACTGCATCGATTTGGCAATGCGGCAGCTGCCGTAGCAGTTGCAAATCGGTTCGGTTATGGCCATTCGGGTTTGACCGGCGGGTGCTCTCCACCGTCTGCGGCAGGCTCAGTGAGTGGGCCCAACTACCTCCCAGGATACATAAGTGATATCTACCCGGCAAACAATGCGTGTGGTTTGTTAAGTCCAGTTGGTCTGGCCTCTAGTAATGGTTCTTCACGTGACCAGCCGAAACCCTTCGCAGACGTCTTCAATTCTAGCTTGGAAGAATCCCGACATACGTCGTTGCTTGGTCCTGTCCTACCGTTTGCTTCCGATCCGTACTCCCAGTTGAATTCAGCCCTTGCAGAACGACCAATTCGTGATCAGCGGGTCAATTTTAATTCCTCCGACCAGTACACTTGTGAGAAGTCTAACTATCGAACTGACTTGTCTGACTGTGCAACAGATGAAGTGCGACAGATTCCAATTTTGCGCAACCGAAATATAGATCCACCTGGTTCTTGGTTGAACGAAAGAATAAACCAATCCATGGACAACCCTCAACGGGGGGAAGTTAGTTCAGATGGTACCGAGGTAAATCCACTGCATGCGCCCCTTTCGTTCTATCCAAAGGCACAGCAGATGGCTCTGTTGGGTTATTCACCCCACTCTTACTACCACAATCTTGCTAATGGACAGCCGAATACCTCAAAGGCACATTCGGGCGACCATGAATCTGTGATTCCAGTGAGTCATCCTCATCAACAAACAAAATCTTCACCAAGAGTTTCATCCAGGGACCCTGAGGTGGTCTTGAGTTCCCGATACGAACCCTCAGGGTATGGATATCAGTCCCACCTAGGCATGAATGTTCATCACAACACCGTGCAGTCAAACTGTGGTACCGTACTTTTAAATGACCTTCGCAACTGTGACAGCAACCAAAGCAGTACAAGTAGCGGAACACCAAGATCCGAGACCACATTACCTGTTGCAGACCACAGCAGTCTTGGGTCGATGCCTGGTGATAGACAGCTATTCCCTGCTGTATAGCTGTTATCTTTTCATGTACACAACGTGTGTGCGATAAACGAGTAAAATTATCCTCAGTGAGTCACTCAATTTTACTTTCGACCCATCCCTACTAGAGAACGCTGTTTGTATTTAGTGAAGGTAGCAAACAACTGAGGGACCAGAATCCACCGGACTCCAGTGTATATAACCCGTCAGATGAAACCCAAGAATTATCTCCATTCTGTGCAACTAAGTTCCCATCAGATCTGTTCAGCACAACTGTCTTGATTGACTGAGTTCGTTCACTTTTGCTGTCAATTCTACTGTACACAATAATAACCTACGGCATCTCTCCGCACCTGACTACTGCCTTTTATTTCCAAACTGTCTGAAGGAATACAGCAATGGATGTTTCAGTGTGCGCAAACATAGGCCTTGAACAATATTACTCGGCACATTAGACTCTCTAAAAAAATTCCTAGTATTTGGATTTTGAATACAACGTGACAGATTAGCTGGTTAGATGACTTTCGACTCAGTCAATGGATTTCACTGATAATAAAACCATACTGTGATTCTCTGCACTTTTTGTATGCTAATTTTTGGGATACCCTGATGGCAAAAATTTTATTGATCATTTTACGCTAAAAAGAATACTGTTTGTAATACCAATCACAATATACTAACAGTGTATCACAAAACAGTGTGTGGAGTCTCCCTGACGGCGCGAATCATAGGTTCGTACTATCTTTGGTAGACTTTGGTATTTATTGGTTTACAGTGGAATTTTGCCGTAGTTAACATACGCCGAACAGACGACAGTTGTGATTTAGCCGTTTTCTCCTTAATTTGCCTACTGAAGGCTTCAAAGCAGAAAATATAAAATCCGACCCCCATCGCTGAGCTGAAGATAATGATAAGCTTTTGAGAGTAAGTGACCGAATGTCCCCGAAACCCGGTATTCGTTTGAAATCTCGGGCTTATATAACTGGGGTGCCATGTTATGGACCCGAGGCACAACTAGTCGCAGCCAGTCAAGTTAACGCTAATGAGTATCCATAGGATAACCAAGCACAAATATACCCTTCCGACGAAAGCATCACTGCAGTGTGAGGATAATTTTGGAACTCGGAATTAGCTTCTCCTAATGGAAAGAAAATGCCCTCCGACTCTTTGGAATCTGGTCGGAAGTTTAGCCAAAGTTCTCGTGTCCTCATTTAACTTGGTAACACTTCCAGTGTCCAAAATAGGCCATCCAAGACATTGATCTAAGCTTTAGAAAAATCTCTGAGAGCTGGGCTTTTCTGATTGATGGGTTCAAGAAAGCAGTAGAATTAGATCAGTGACGAAGTGCTTCGAAACGGTCCACTTTTGATGTAAACTATAAACTTGGTATTATGTATAGACAGAGCCTGCACTCTGTTGTCTCCATCAACGGGTTCAACGTAGTGGAATGGAATCACCTGGAAAATACAATTAGTCGGATTTATTAAAAAGGGGACATTATCCGAACATTACACAGTATTTCTCTAACACCTTTCTTTTTCCCTGACGAAGCTGTGGAAGGACTGGAGAGAGGTTGCTGATGGCCCAATTAATAGATCAATGGGGAGAAGCTAGAAGGACAAGAGCCTAGTTGGCACAGCTTTTGGGCGGGTACCATGATAACCCACATGCATATACAGTTGTAATGGAAGGATTAAAAAGGACTGTGGCTTTAAAAATACTTCTTGGGTTGTGTTTTTGTCAACTCGAATCTTCCTGAACGTGCATCGCATCTGATAAGTAGCAGAAGCCACGCTGAACTGCATCTACGGCTTCTGTGAAAATCTAGGTAAGGGGTGGCGCCATGCTACTTCTGGGCTTAGAAGACTGTGAGCTTTTAACATTTGCCATAAAGAAATAGTAGATACTGGGAGCAAAGCACGACAGAAATGAAAAGGCGTGTCCGTAAGTTGTATTTGTTTGCGCTAAAAGCCCATGGTAAACTTGGTTGGGCGTAATACCAGGAAAATCTATTGTCCAATTGGCTTGGTCATCCAATAAGTTCTTCTTGACTTGAGTAGTATGGGACCATAGTTAAAACCCACGGGTAGACTACTACCACCTGCTGATGAATCTATATCTCGAAAGTCGACTATTTGTGGAGCAGATTTCCGTTGGTGGGTTCTGCTAGAGGCCACTTTTAAAAGTATATCGATCCAAAACAGAATGTAGAAACGTCATGGGAATATGCATTTGGTGATATTACTAGCTGCAAATAGGACGAAACTTACTGAAATAAGTGTACCACTTACCAAGTACTGTCTTGTCTGATTTTCATAGCTTACAAAGTAAACTCAGTCTGCAAAACTCATCTGGATTAGCAAAGTCGATTCTCCCTAAATAATACACTCAAACTCAGAGCAAAAAAGAGAACAAATCAATAACCAGCAACGATGTAGCAAGCCAATGTAGATTCTTGGCTATTCTCGCTAGTGTAGTTTCGTGGCTTGTGTTAGAATTTAGTCCATGTGCTCACGAATTTTCCGAGCAACTCAGGTCCGGAACATGATGTCACTTGCTTAACAGTTAAAGCGGGTTTACTCTCCAGGTGGAGTGTGATGCATCTGTTTATTTCGATTATTTAGGTTAAAGTTTGGGTTCATTTTTAGGTCTTTGCATTCGATACAACATGTGTACAGCGTACTGGTACGGGGGACCACGGGTAAGCATACGAGTTCCTCAGTGGAGTTGGAAAAAGCGTCTTCCAAATGTTGTGGACTAGAAACTTATCCATCTGGAACTAAAAATTTGTCATTGGGGGTAGGCTGCTTGGAACCAACGAGCCAACGTAAATTTCATCTTCATCTCTGCAAGACATTTGGAGTATGGGAATTCGCACTGGAGTCATCACTAATTTCAAAGACCCAATAGAATACAGGATTTTGTGATCCCACAGTTGGAAAAATCAGTCTATCCCACGTTGATCAGCTGCAACTTCCCTTTTATGAACAGAATGATTAGCTGTTTACTCTCACTCAAATCAAAAACAGCTATAATACTCAGTTCGGAATAATGAAGGATGGACCCTCTGAAGCCAGCTAACAGGCACGACCTCTTTCACACATACTGAACTGAAACACGCTTGCCGCGTAAATCAACATGTTTTGAATTTCCTCCTAACCAGGTTCTAACGGTACATTTTACGACATCCCCAATGAAACGCGCCCGACTGACTGGCTGACCCACACGATTTTGAAACCATACTCTTCCACTTGATCCTCCAAAGTTGTGCTTGAATATGGGGGGCGTATGACTGACTGAATTTAGAGTGCTTTTACTGAATGGCGCCGACTCGACGCATTGTTGGCTAAGGACATCAACAGCAAGGTGGATGAGCTGTTGAAGAAAACTGACAGTGACAGATCACGAAGACAATACTCATCAGTTCTCAATGGACAAACAGGTAAAAGGTCACCAATCAATTTGCACATGCTCACCTATTAACGAAATTGGGTCACCACAGTATATCCTCCTGTTGGGTCAACAAGAACAACTCGCGTGACTGTCTCGGGACAGTATTTCCCATTCTTGCTGCTTTTCAAATTTGAATGAATACTAGGCACGTGGTGGAGGAGGGACTAGTTTGTCTTTCAGTGAAACGTTAACTGAATGGGGTTCAGGTTTGGGCTAGACTGTGTGAGATGCATACTTCGATCAGGTTAATTTTATTGTAACTCTCGTCTTATCCGATGCTATACGACTGAGTGCAAGTGACGACTTACAATGCTTGAAGTGTGTTCGGGCTGATTTGAAGTTTATAGCTACTTTTACAAATGTGTTCTGTCAAATACAGATTAGGTAACTTTCAGCTAGCCCACCGTTCCGCCGTGTAAATGAGACTACCTGCATAAAGCTGGTTAATAAGTTTGGTGTCAGAGGATGACCTTCAATTAGAGCAATTTCTTCACATTTGGGAGAGACCCTTTTGATGTTCTGAGGGGTCTGGGAGCTATGGAGATGCGGAGGGTACTGGTCACCCAAATTTCATCTTATAACGTGAGTTCAAAGCCGTGTATAATCATGCAAGGAGCTAATTTAATTTGAACTCACGTTATAAGATGAAATTTGGGTGACCAGTACCCTCCGCATCTCCATAGCTCCCAGACCCCTCAGAACATCAAAAGGGTCTCTCCCAAATGTGAAGAAATTGCTCTAATTGAAGGTCATCCTCTGACACCAAACTTATTAACCAGCTTTATGCAGGTAGTCTCATTTACACGGCGGAACGGTGGGCTAGCTGAAAGTTACCTAATCTGTATTTGACAGAACACATTTGTAAAAGTAGCTATAAACTTCAAATCAGCCCGAACACACTTCAAGCATTGTAAGTCGTCACTTGCACTCAGTCGTATAGCATCGGATAAGACGAGAGTTACAATAAAATTAACCTGATCGAAGTATGCATCTCACACAGTCTAGCCCAAACCTGAACCCCATTCAGTTAACGTTTCACTGAAAGACAAACTAGTCCCTCCTCCACCACGTGCCTAGTATTCATTCAAATTTGAAAAGCAGCAAGAATGGGAAATACTGTCCCGAGACAGTCACGCGAGTTGTTCTTGTTGACCCAACAGGAGGATATACTGTGGTGACCCAATTTCGTTAATAGGTGAGCATGTGCAAATTGATTGGTGACCTTTTACCTGTTTGTCCATTGAGAACTGATGAGTATTGTCTTCGTGATCTGTCACTGTCAGTTTTCTTCAACAGCTCATCCACCTTGCTGTTGATGTCCTTAGCCAACAATGCGTCGAGTCGGCGCCATTCAGTAAAAGCACTCTAAATTCAGTCAGTCATACGCCCCCCATATTCAAGCACAACTTTGGAGGATCAAGTGGAAGAGTATGGTTTCAAAATCGTGTGGGTCAGCCAGTCAGTCGGGCGCGTTTCATTGGGGATGTCGTAAAATGTACCGTTAGAACCTGGTTAGGAGGAAATTCAAAACATGTTGATTTACGCGGCAAGCGTGTGTGTGTTCAGTATGTGTGAAAGAG